GAGCCGCTAAATGAGTATAGTATCGTGGATAACGAACTGAGCATTCTGCATGGCAGTCTGCACATGAATCATCGTACCTTCAGTCTGAGAAACAGGGGTTTGCAGAGCACGGCAATCGCGGCGGTCGCCATTGTAATGGGGCTGCTGCACGTGCCATCCACGTGGACTTCCGAGTTGATTGATACCGTACTCAAGTATGGTGATTCGCTGTACTTGGAGAGTGCCCGAGCCGCTCGACCGGGCGCCAGGAATCTCTCACCCAGCGAGTTGCTCACCGTGTTTATCGTAGGTGACTTGAGGGTCACCATTCACGTTCATAATCATACCACCGCCGGAATACTTCATATCTTCGATCTGTCCGAGGCGCTCGCCATGTTCTTCCGCGCGAACTGCGCCGGAATATTGCACACAGCCAATCTGGCGATGGCTGTGATGCAGCATTACGGTAAATTCTATATGTTCGACCCGTGCTCGAGAAACGGCCGGGGTAGACCTGCCTACGACGGCGCCGCATGTATGTTCAAGTGTAAGAGTATCGCAAGGATGGCAAAGATATTCATGGATAACTGCAACTCGAAGCGACCGAGTGTATACACTTTGAACGCGGTTAACGTATTGAGCCTGCATTTTTTTTCAACCACGAGAGACGTTTGTTCATCTAAATATTAATAAATGTTCGATTGTACGTTTTACTTTTCTTTACTCGCCAAGTAGATACAACGGTACGCGAATCTCAAGGTGTCATGCATCCCTGTAAAATTTTCAAAATTTAAGAAAGTATTCTTCACAATCCTTAAACGCAAGCGAAAATTTTGCGCCGAAGTGAACGAAAGATAAAATGGAAGTGAAAGAAAAAATTTGTACACGCGGTCGACAACGTTCTCAAAGTGCTAATTTTATTTATAGGGTTTCTTTATGACACAAATCACTTTTAGCGTCTACATGAGTAGGATTACAGGCTATACGAGAATGAATGATACAGATCGCTTATTAGTATAAATACAATGTTCCTTTTCCTCAATTACACGCGCGCTATCAGCCTAGATACTTAGAAAACACTGTACAACGCAGTTGAAAACTGTCGATTGATACTTTACAATATGGTACAATCATTCCTTTGAAGCGAGACAGTAGCTTCGAACTCCCGACTCGATCGGCACGAGCTTGGTCACCCTCGTCACCGGAGGAAGGGGGGTCGTCATCTGCGACTCGCGAGCAAATCTCGATACTCTCTCTTCTCGAGCGGACTGTAGGCCGTATCGAGCGAGTTTGCTCGCACTCCGAGAATCGCATTCTGCATCTCAGGGGAAACGTTCTCTTTATACCCGGATAAACCGGGACGTTTTCACGTCCCCGAGCAGTTCGCCACCGAATTCTAGACGACGTCGCCTCGTCGTTCCTAGCAGAGCGAGAAAGGAAGTAGCGAGCGGGCTCGAGATGATCTATGAGGGGGGGGAGGAGAGTACCGCTTCCTTTGCGACCAAATCAAATCGCTCATCAGGAAGAAATCGGTCCCACTCACGTCCCACTCTCCTCATGTACAGCGATACTCAAATGTCTCTCGCGTGAAAACTTGAAGAGTCTCGTTTTCACGTATACTGGCTATGTCTGTCGCTAATCCGCTGCTACCTCCTTTCTTTCCACACTCGTCTCTCGTGAGACGTTGCTGGTTGTCCTTGCCCCGTACTTATTCGATAGGTACTTCAGTTCCTCGATCGAACATCCTGTACGCGCGAGAGTCTACGTTTCTCTTTCGTTCGAGTACTGCTAAAATATTTCGCTTTGTCCGCGATCGCGTAATATATAGATCGTCATTCGCGAAAAGGTTCCTACTAAATGCCATTTTCAGTCTGTTTAACGAGTTCGATCGACAAACGAAGAAGGCGGGTAGGAAGAGAGAGGAGAACGGCGGATCGAGTGAAGAGGGAAGGAGGGAGAAAAGGGCAAGTTCGCGTCAGTGGCTGACGCTCCACGACGGAACTAGGAATGGATTATAATGTCAAAAACAATATGTATTATATGGATAATATTGGCATGACGTTGTTATGGCACGTTTAGTTCGCTGCTATACTCGATGCGTTTCTACAGCGATTTTCGCCATGTTCGCTATACAGACACCGGATGATTCCAGTCTATGGCTGAGCTCAGCAGAAAAAGCGATTGTAAAAACTGTTGCAAAATTGTTTAATATTATTGGTTACGCATGTAGATCTAATAAGAAGCTAAGGACAAGAACCAATTTATGTTAAAGAATTTTACAATTGCAAAGCTGCTTTTCTGCTGAACACGGCTAATGAAATAAAAGAAACCGAAAGAATATAAAAAAAGAAAAAAAGGAGAAACATTGCGGAAGGGAAATAAGGGAAGATATTGTCATAGACGTTCGCGTGCATCCTTGTGCAACGTCTATTTCCGTTTCGTGGCGCACAAACGCGCACAATTTCACACTCTCATTCTCTCATTGGCACCTCCATTGCACTTTCCCATGCGCCGCAACAAATGCATCTTATATAAGACATATTTATTTTATGTACAAAAGAGAAACTGCTCTCTGAATAAACGCTTACGGAACAATCGTTATAAAGGACCCCCTCTCGCGCATTTCTTTCCGGTTTGGTAATAGACGGTAAAGAAAAACTAGAATCGCACCAAAATGTCGCATAACAGAACGAGATCAGTCATTAACAATTCTCATCGCAATTATATAGTCGGTATGCTCGAAATTGCGCATACGATACGTGAATTTTTTTAGCTTTTTACAAAACGTACTATTGTGTAATGTGTTATTGCAAAAAGATTCGCTCTTTTCATTTTCGAAAATATCGAATTTATAAAATAAAATTTTTTTAAATTAGCGATGATTAAAATCTTAATGATAAGACGAATAAAAATGAAAGAACTAGCTGTTCTCTTACGAAACAATATTGCGAAGAATCTTTTACGATACGATTAATTTCTATTACATTTATATAAAAAAAAGAGGATTATCGGCTAATAGATTTTTCGCAACAAAAAACAATTCACGAAATAATGAAAAATATATTCATTATTTCATATTATTTCGTATATAATTGTTCAACTAGTACGTTTTACATTTGCACATTACACCGAGATACGATATATAAACAATATATATATATATATAATAAAACATAAGGAAAAACGAAGAGTTGCCGATAAAAATATTTATAATGTTTTGTACCTAGAAACAAAAACCTGTATTATCCTAATGTTTGAAACCACATGCTAAAAACTCCGTTAATTACGGAGAGAAAAATATATAAAACATTAGTAAAACCTATGTTTTATAAGATATCATAAAATGTTTTTTCTAAAATCCGTTCCTAATCATCGTTTATTGAGCGATTGTTCCAACGATAAATTTTTCTATTTCATGATTTGAGAGAGAAACTTATTTCTCTGATGCGCAAACATACAAATCAACTAATCCTCAAATCGCATTGGATTGCTACACACTCATCGAACGCTCACGTTAATACGTAAAAGTGAAAAGATAGATAAAAAATGTTTAAAAAGAATAATAGAAATATGAGGGAGAAATTAACAGATTATAGGATAATCTTTCGAAAACGTCACTTTTGACACTCGCAAGTTATTTGAGACTGATGCAGCTAGTTCCAATATATTTCTATAGAGAATAATTGCATTCATTGAGTTTAGTTTTTATTTTTATTATTGTCTTTGTTCAATCGAAAGTGTACAACAAAGCATGCGAATCGACGGCTAAAATTATTATCTAATTTGAGAAAACAATCAAAAAATGAAGATGTTGAGCGATGTTAAGTCGATTGCGACAGTGATAATAAAAACACGAACTTTAATAATACGTATTATTAGTATTGATACGCATTTATATCAATATACGTATTCATACTTAATAACTACGTAATTAACAGCATGTTATATTTCGTAATAAATGGAAAAGTTTGCTTGACAAGTTTTACAGAAACACGTTGCCTTTAGAACCTTATCGATCGTATAGCGCCATTTATCAATGTAACATTATTAAAAATAAGATATAAGGAAAGAAAAAGAAGACGAGAGAGAAAGAAAAAAATATTCGAGTAAAAAGTGAATGAGGAGTCGATAAAAAGGATCTTACATGCTAATCAACCCGCACGGTGTGTATAGACTTTTAAAAAAATAACAAATTGCATATACATAGAAGTTAGATATCTTAACACACACTTGATGTGTGAGGTGAGGTCGAATAAACAAATGATAATAAAACGCATCTCACGCGCGAGCGCGCCGCTTCGGTTTTTTTTTTCTTGCGGCTCCTCCGCTTTATGCTTTTAGCTATTTATCCGCAATATAATTACTTTCCTAGAGTATAGTAGCTGGCACAGGAACATGACTCTCAGTCATTGGCATCACAACGTAACAAGGACTACAAGCTGCGTCACGCGCACTTTCAATGAGCTTGCTTTCTCTGTCGCATTATTATCAGACGTGCACCTTGCTCTTCCCCAGCTTCGCAAGCATACATGCACATATATTCTCTCACGCTTACATCTCGCTTACATTTGTCTTTTTGCTGAGCGGGTGACTACAACCAAATACTTGGTCCTGAGTATTTCTGCACATAGTATTTATTTCTGTTCTTTCGTTAACACGTATAATAACGCCTTGATCATTATTCCCGACTTTGGATGATCTCTATTTCGGCGAATGGATAAGAGTGAGGCCAAGAGAAAATAATCGAAGGCGACGTTATCGATCCATAAATGCGATGGAGGATTCGCACGATGATGATTCCGCATGTTCAAATTCGAATCATCAACAGTACCGCTTCGATAGTAGACTGCATCTAACTCGACTAAGTAAATCACTCGAATTACCCCTTTCAGGCATACTCGAAAATACTATAGTC